TTCATTATCTACTCAGTCATCTTAACTGAGGTGCTACAAAGTAGAAAACCCTTCCCTGTAGAATACATTAGGAGATGAGCGTCTATCAAGAAATCCCAACGTCCTTTTCTGCCTGGCAAATTTTTACAATGGCTTGTCATGGTTTAAGGACAGCTGGTAACTCAGAACCATGAAGCCGCTCGCTTAATCCCTACCCTTCTTCCTCCCCGCACTCCTGGAGGGAGAACCCAGGACATGGCTAACAATGAGGTGGTTTATGAATATGTCCAATAATCACTTGAGCATATAAATTAGAAAAACGAACTGTAATAACAGGGTGAGTATAAGTGAAATAGTTGGAAAAGTATATTTTTATAAATCATTCGTAGATAGGCTAAGAAAGTCAGGGCGTGGAGAAGAGAAGCTCTGTGGAGACCTCATAGCAGCCTTCCAGTATCTGAAGGGGGTCTACAAGAATGCTGGAGAGTGACTCTTCATCAGGGAATGTAATGATAGGACAATTGGTTTAAACTAAAACAAAGGAAGTTCAGGTTAGATAAAAGAAAGATACTCTTTACTGTGAGGGTGGTGAGGCACTGGAAAAAGTTGCCCAAGGAAGTTGTGAATGCTCCACCCCTGGCAGTGTTCAAGGCCAGGCCAGGCAGAGGTTTGGGTGACATGGCATATTGTGAGGAGTCCCTGCCCATGTCAGGGGGGTTGGAACTTGATGATCTTAAGGTTCTTTCCATTCTATGATTCAATAAAGAGTCTGGAGAAAAATTCACATTTTATAAGATATCCATATTTAAAATGCAGAATAGCAAAATGATGTCACTGTCGAGGATATAATAGCAATTAACTGACTAATCTTAACACATTTCCTCACAAAATCCTGTTTTGAAAGATTATGAGTCCAGTTTCTATCAAACAAGGGGCCATTGGAGATGTTCCAAACCTTATGAGCTATGGGTTCAAAATTTAGCTGTTCCGTTATAAAGAAGGAAAAGAAAAAGTTAAAAATGGGAAAAAAAAGGAAGGGAAGGGGCAGGAACAACCAGAGTTCTATTGTTTATCCTGGTTATACTCAACTTCATGAAGATAAAGAATGGCTTTTAAACATTTCCTATTTCCTCTAATCTTGGACTGCTTTCCTAGGGAGAAATAAGCAGTTCTAGAGAAACCCACAAGCCAAACATTTTGGCTTACAGGCAACACATAACTAAAAAGTCAACAGTGAGGCTGAAAGGGAGGATGAACTATATTTTTTCCAAAGCTCACCGTTTTCCTGGGGACTTGCAAACTGGGTAGCACTGACCATAAACTCTCTGACTTGCATTTAGCCTGCCAGGCTATTCCACACAGCCAGGTCGCCCAGAAAGGTGGTAGATGTGCCATCCCTGGAGACATTCAAGGCTGGGCTGGATGTGGTTCTGAGCAACCAGGTCTTGTTGAAAATATCCCTGCTCATTGCAGGAAGGTTGGACTAGATGACCCTTCCAACCCAAACTGTTTTATGGTTCTATGATTCTAAGTGCAGAACTCTTTTTTTGTGGAGTGTGGTGCAGTGCAAAATCCACCATGTGCGTGCAGGGAACCTAATAGGTTGGACTTTCCAACTGGTGCTCTGGGATCTGACTCTATTGAGCTTAATGTGTTAGGTAGAAGTTGAATCTCTACACTGTAAACAAAGCCTTCAAGTGAAAAGGAAAAAACAGCAATAGAAAGGTGAGGTTTTACATCACAGTCCAGGTTTAGCAATTGAGGGAATGGGTAAGAAGAAATATATGCACTATTGTGTAGATCCAGTGTCTTGGAAATGTCACCTTGTGCATCCTGTAATTTAATCTCATCTTTCTTCTTGCAGGACACGAAAAAAGGAAAAAACTACAAATTACACACAAGGTTTTCCTTTAAAAAGCTCAGTTCATTTTCCAGCTCTCTTACTTTTTCCCTGAAGACTGCTTACTCTAGGCAAGAATCCACATGTGTGGTTAGATGAAACGCCTTGTGACTGAAAATCAGCCACTGATTATCTATATGTAATTGGTGCTTCAACCAGTAATTGAATGCCTGTGGAATAAAGATGCCTTGAAGAAACCCTGTGTCTTGCAGGCAGCTTTCTCTCTATGGATTAGAGACAAAACAGGCATTTTTATCATTTATGTACATTTTTAATTAGCACCGTAGTTACTTAAATAAATAATGCATAGATTAAAATACTCATTTAAAGAAATTACAAAATATTTAATTATAAACAAAATAGTGAGAGGAATTCTTCACCAGGAAAACAGTGTACTGTAAGGACCTGTTACTAGTCCTTTGCTACACAAACCTACATCGCTGCTCAACTCCTCTGAGGCTCTGCTGTTTTTCTGTTTGGCCCCAAAGGACAGAGGTGCTTACTAGATGCAGCACAAGACCTGGGCTGCCTCACTGCCAGTGCATCACAGTGCACCAGCCCTCTTTGCTGTCACGTGCCTTTGTTTACACTGCAGCAGCAGCCTGCGACGTAGCTGGTGCACCCAGGGATGTGGCAGGTGAAAAGGTTCAGCTACCAAGTGTTCCAAAGTTTCAAAGGCAGGAATGATGGAGGCAGCCCACCCTCTGACATCAGTGACACACTTCCATCTCATCCCATCATAGGTTACATGTAGCCATACAGCATGCCAACACTTCACCAGCTCCTGCTGCAGAATGCTCCCCCAAAATTATTCCAAGAATAACGGAAATGCTTAGGGCGTAACACCAGAAGCCCCAGTGTCAATGTGATGGTTATATGTTCAGGCAATGATTTTATAAACCTAAAAATAGTACCATTGATTACATAAGAATTACTGACGCACATATAATTAAAAGCTTGCTGGACCTAATTTACATGTGTGCTTTTATGTTTGTGTACATATTTTTATATCAGACATTTGTATCCTCATCTTCCTAAACAAACATCTGAAGTCACTGCTCTCATACATACTTAACTGGAAAGCTTGGAGTCTCACCAGCAAAGCCTAGGTGATGGGCTAAACCTAATTTTCCTATCAGTAGGCAACTTTTTTCTTCAGCTTTTTCCATATAAGCCAGCTGTGCAAATTCAGGTGGGATCTCTGATAAGGGCATCTTCATTCTTAATACAGTTGACCTTTGATTTCAGAAGTGCTGGAGTTTCATTGGCTAATCAATATCTGGCTTGGCTGCTCGGCTTTGACTTTTCTCTTCTGATAATTATTTACCCTTCAAGGGTGAAATGAAACTTCACAAATGTCTAGCATGGGCTTTTGAACAATTTAAAAGGTGCAAAGTTTTACCAGCCAGAATGCTAGGCAAGGATGTTATTCTGGTGGAATTTTTATGTATACTGGCAAACTAATGCAGTCAGAGCCTTCTGCCACACATGGCAAAATAATTTCATCCTATCAATGTACTTTCATCCACTAAAGTACATACTTTTTAAAAGTGAAAAATATAAACTGCAGGGTTCAAGTAACTTGTAAATTGCTTACAAATTTTGTCTAGTGAAATAGTATCATTACAGCAATGTGGAACACAAACCGTAAAGTACCTTTACATAACACAATTGCAAGCCATGGAAATAGAGGCTTGCAGGAAGTGCAATTTATACTTGAATTCGGCAGGGTCACTGCAACAGAGAACTGTTGCAACACTTGCACTTCAGAGAAACGGCATATGACTTTATCACATAGTGGTCAGGACCCTGGTTTATATCTGGTGATAAAGGAGGAACACAAGAATATTGAGTGCATCAGTTAAGTTTCTGGCTTAAGGCCACTCTCCAGGCAACATGCCATAGATATGAAATCACTGTTATTTTAGACTTCATATTAGATGAGTAGGGTAGTGCAAGCTGTTTGAAACTCAGCTTTGATGTATTTAAATATTTTAAAATAATGTGTAGCATTTAATAGTTTTGCTAACATTAGCTTTCCTAAATGCCTGTTAAAAATAGTTTTATTCCCCACTGTTTTAAGCTTTTTAATTAAATGCAGATGCTTAAACCGCCAGTATTCACAAGATTCAGTTATTCAGACATTGTATCATCTATCTTAAATCCTGAATTATGTTCTACATTTCTAATTGAAAACTACATTAGCTCTATAGCAAATACGATTTGTTGCCATGTATTGTATTTACCTGAGAACTAATAGGAATGGCAGGAATAGTACTCTGCTCTTCACATGCAAAAAGACTTCTCTTTAAGTCAGTGTCAAAGTTGTCATTGACTTTACTGACAACACTATTTGGTCACAAATACCCGGGTCTTTACTGCTTAAAATAATCTCCTTTAGTTCTTATCCACACAGGCCCAGGAGCTGCAGTTGTATTGGTGTGCCTACGCTTGAAGCTGAATACTGTTTTGTTTTCATAAGCAGCAGCTGTTTTCAGAGCAAAGTAAAGATTTCAAAGAGATCACCGCCTGACACCAACACATTTCAACACCCAATTGTAACCAAAAAGCAGTTTAGCACCATACCGCCAGAAGCAGGAAAAGAGAATGGTACCAGATTATCCCAACTTTATACCTTACTTTGGGATACCTACGGGCTGTGCACTTGCTTTTTAAATCAGTAATTATCAGGCCTCTTTTCTAAGTCTTTGTTCCAACATGTGCATGCTCTGCATCTTTTTACAACAAAGGTAAAAACAATTAAGTCGTGAAGTCGCTTCACTTCAGTAAAAAAGGGGAGTCCCAAGGGCCGCAGAGGCCCCCGTTTACAGGCTGCGGCTGAGGCTCCGGTATGGAGGCTGGCACCTTTTCTGGCCAACCCTGCCCAAGCCTCTGTAGGGGCTACCTAGACTCAGGTTACTGGGCAGAAGCAGCACCTCGGGACAACGAAGAAAGGGAGACCCGCAACCCACCCACCCAGCTCGGGCGGATCACGGCCCTCACCCCCCACCTACAGCCCCTCACCCCGACCCCTCCGCTCTCAACACCTCTTCCTACCTCCCCTCGCCCTTACACGTCACTTCCTGGGGGCGGGCCGGAGCGCCGCCAGCCGCGGGGTGTCCGCGGCAGCCCTGTGATGGCGGCGGCGGTGGGGTGCTCGCAGTCGCGGCGCCTGGGGGCACCGGGGGGGCTGTGCTGCTCCTAATCGGCGTCGGGCCCCTGCGCCATGGGGAGGAGCCGCGGCTGGCGGCTGGCCTGAGGCGGCGGTGGCGGCGACAGCGGAGGGCGCGGCATTGCCAAGGGAGCCCCGCCGCGGGGGCCGCGACCTGTGCCTCTGGGGATGTTGCGGTGGGTCCGCCAGCAGCTGGTAGGTGCTTCCCGCCGCCGCGAGATGGGGAGGGCCCGGCGCCGGGACACGGCTGGGTGCTCATTCTCCTCGGTCCGGCCCTCCAGGGTCGCCACGTTCTGACGTCTCTGCCCCGGCCGCTGCCGCCGATGGGATCCCTGGAGAAAGCGGGGTTGCGGGTGGGCGGATTGAGGGGCCACAGGGTCGGAGTGTGCGAGGGAGGAGAGGTCTTCTCTCGCCGGGAGCGGGGAGGTGCAGAGGCTGGAGAGGCCTGCAGTTTTCATTTGGGTCATGGGATCATGGAGTGGGTTCGGTTCGAAAGGACATTAAAGACTATGTATTTCCAGCCCCTCTGCTACGGGCAGGAACGTCTCCCACTAGACCAGATTGCTCCAAGCCCCGTCCAACCTGGCTTTGAGCACTGCCGGGGATGGAGCGGCCACAGCTTCTCTGGGGAGCATGCTCCAGTGTTTTTTTAAGTTTCCTTTTTATTGGAATGTTCGGGGTGTTTTGGGTTTGTCTTTTGGTGGTGTTTCGGGTTTTGGTTCGTTGTTTTTTGTTGTGTTTGGTTTTTTGTTTTGGGTTTTTTTTTCCCCTTGAAACCATGTTGATACAGAGAAAAGGGCATTCCCTTACCTCTGGCCTCCGTTGGGAAGGGCTCCCCAACTTTTTTCACGGAGGAATGACGGTGCCTCTTTCTGTGGACGGACACTTAGATTTGCTGGCCTCTCTTCCTCCTTCACGTTGTGAAATCTCTTAAGGCTTTCTCACCCGCTACGCGTCCGTCTCATGTATTTCCCTGTACCTGAGAGCTTTACAGATGTCGTCTCTATGTGTGTGTTAGGGCTTTGAAAGTGACGAGAAATTGAATAAAAACATCTGTGAAATGCTTGTCGCGGAGGAAACCAGTTGAAAAAGGCTGCAGATAAGAGTGTCTGTCGCCTGTTAAAAAGGCGCTGCTTGTAGTTCTTGTGTTACAACGTGCAAGGGAAGTAAGCCGTCCGTGACTGCAGTGTCTGTGGCACTGTAGCACAGAACTATAGTAAGTTTGGCTGTTGTGATTTGAAGTGGTGGCACACTTCCTGCCCCTTCAGAATTATTTATCTTGCCTTTTCTGAAATGGAAAAATTCCTTCTAAGTGATGTATTTGCAAACTTACTTTTCCCATTCATTGGAGTTACCTTGCATCACAGATGTTGTCCAGGTTGGTACAAGAGCTTCCATTAGTTAAAGATTTTTATATTTTAATGGTTTAAGCTTCTGTCTTACTAGTGATTTGTTTCATTTGTTACATCACTTTCTACAAAAAAGTATAAGCTTTTCTTCTCCTCCCTCCTTTCCCATGGCCTGTAGATTTTCCCAGATGGGTGTCTGAAGTACAGAGCTTGCGTTGATAGTCTCAATGCCAGCTTGACAGTCCTCACTAGTTTGGTTTGACACCAAGAATTACTGACCTGGGAATTAACTGCTCTGTTCAAGCTCTGGCTGCACTCTTCTGTTCTGATTGTTATGCATATCTTTTTGAGAATAAAGCATGTTTGCTGTAATGTAGCTATCATTTTTATCCCTTGAAGGTGGCTTGAGGTTTATGTGTGTGGTTTTTAAAGCAGCATTAAGTTGTCTTCTGCAGAATCTAGATTAGGACTATATTAGTGGTAGGAATTCACGTATCAAACACGATTGCTTCTCTCCCTATAAGTACACTGACCAGTTTTTCAGAAATCTGTTTGCCATTAATAGAAAATAAAAGCTTACTGTAACAAGATGTGCAATAAACCTAGCACTAAGTGGTTTTTGTTCTTTTAAAGGAAACTGTTTGATGGCAAAATAACTGTTGAAAACTTGCACTAATTTTGATAGACAAGGATTATTGTAGTAGAAGAATGGAATAATAAATAGTCAAGATGCTTGAACAGACATTTAAATATGGAATTAAGGAAAAAATACTGCAATTCTACATGTTTTGTGCTTTCTATAAACCTCACTGATGTTAATGGATTAGTAGTTTCACAGCTCATAAAGATGAAAAATGGCTTAAGACAGGTATCACACTGCATGTGTCTTCAGGGACACTCAGACAACTCATCCTTTGTGTAACAGTTTTTTAAACGTAGATCCCACCATAAGTTTGCTTCTTCATATGTCCATGATGTTAAGTTTCTGAAAGAATGTCAAAGGGCCAAAAACCTGGGAAAAGATGCTGAGAAAAATTTAGGGAGAGTGGGAAGAGTGGGGTGGCAGCAATATGTGAATCAAAGGGTGGCAAAATCTGAGTCTGATTTATTTCTGATAGAAGACAATAATGTGGGGTTGGATGCCTTTAGAGTGTGTGTTTGTACTTGAGCTTGATGTTGCAACAGGCTTTGAAAACAGTGTGCTTATCCATACAGGAGGGTTGGAATTAGGCAAATATGTAGGACTGATTTAAGTGGGATGTTTTTGTACTACTAGTACAAAAGAAAAATGTTGATGTGCAGAAATGTTGGAAACTAGTTCTTGGGGAAAGGGGGGACAGACTGGTACTTTGCTTAAGGTGCTTTTAGGTAATTATTAAGTACTCTGTATGAAACCCACAGATGTTTTGCAATTTCTTGTTTGTCTAAGAGGACAGTGTTTTATATACCAATTAATGCAGTCATATGGTCTTGAGAACTTGCATTCTCAAGAGTTGTTAAAGGGGCAGGGAAAATGAATTGGGTGGTCTTAGAAGTAAGTAATGAGAGGATCTGGTAGGGAAATCAAATTATTTCAGTTCAGTTCTTTTTAAGAACAGGAGACATGCTGAAAATGTAATACTTTGTCTTTATCATGGTCTTACAGGCCCAAAATGGTTTTCTAACTGAGGTATTATTTGTCTTTTCCGTGATATAACAGAAATTGGTGATAGTGCTAAGTCTTCAGTGCGTACGTGGGACTTAAAAATTGTCACTTTGGTTTGGTATCTTGGCCTTCAGTCTGCTTTGTTTGCTCAGAAACAATGAGCACCACCCTACACAGTTTATCAGTTTTCTTCCGTCTAATGCTGCCCCATGCAAAGTAAGCTGCATAGCAAGTCATTAACAGTGTGCAACTATGATGTTAATATAATATCATTAGTTAATAGTTGGAAATACTGAAGTTTTAGTTATATCATCATCGTGATATAGTTTTATGTTTTGTATCTTATTATATGAGATATAAATGAGATATATGATAAAGTTTTATAGTTTTATCTCACTATCATGAGATAGTTTTACGAAGTTTTAGTTGTAACTCCTTTTGTCTCTCCTTTTCTTTTAATGAGTCATTGTTTTTAGTAAAATGCCCTGATGTATTTCAGAGAGAAGCTTTAAGCAGGAAAGATGCCTGCTTTCCAGTTCAGGTCTGTTACCTTGAGATCTCAGGGATCAGTAGGCATGTGGATTTGCTGAGGGTTGCATAACACCACAGGCACAGCCAGCTCTGCTTGAAAAAAGCAACCAGGTAAATAACTGTTGATAGGAAGCATAATTAATATTCAGGAATAGTACGGTACATTTTATTTGCATTTCCAGATATGATGGGTTAGACTACATAGCTCTGTGTACAGCAGAGTGCTGTTGCGGCCCTCCTGGTCAAGTGCGTGCAGTGCCAACACAAAACAAGAGTACAGAGTGGTGTTTGTAATGCTCAGTGACTTTCTGTACCACTTTTAGTTTAATAGATTTATGACACTGTTTGGACTGTGCTAATGTCTTGATGGTGTACATGGAGTGTTAGGAGTTGTTGCAGTGGTATTAAAAGAAAGTACTGACAACTTCAGTTGTTTGGCAAGGAGGTCTCCCAAAATTGTGATTGAACACCTTTGTATGTATGAACTTAGCTGCATAATTTTGAACTATTAGTCCTGTCAAGTGAAGAAGGGTCTCTGGATTTCTATTCTAGTTGCTATTATGTAGAGTTTGAGCACTTTGATCTGTTACCTAACAGTTCAGTGATGTACAATGATGTACAAAACCTAAGAGCTGTCTAGTCTCTCTTTGTTTTTTTTTTTTTTAAATGATAGCATAATCCTGCTTCTCTTGAACTATATTTGGCAGAGTATCGTCTTCCTAAAATGTAAGAATCCGAGTGCTCTTGTGCACTGGCAGCAACTTTTACTCTGTGCAGAGCAAGGTATTCAGGTGCTTGCAGCTTTGCTGTTTAACTGGGAGTCAGATTAATTCCTGAGACCCAGTTAGAATTAAACTTGGCTAGGGATGTTAAGGATAACAGGAAGGGATTCTATAGGTACATAGCGAATAAAAAACAGACTAGGCACAATGTAGGCCCCCTCCAGAAGCTATCGGGAGAACTGGCTACACAGGATTTGGAGAAGGCTGAGGTTCTGAATGACTTCACTGGCAAAGGCTCTGACCACACCACCCAAGTCTTGGAAGGCAGATGCAGGGACTGTGAGAATGAAGACCTTGGGCCCACTGTAGGAGAGGATCTGGTTCGAGACTGTCTTAAAAACTTGAACATACACAAGTCCATAGGACCTGAATGAAATCCACCTGTGGGTCCTGAAGGAGCTGGCAAATGAAGTTGCTAAGCCACTGTCCATCATATTTGAAAAATCATGGCAGTCAGGTGAAGTTCCCGAGAACTGGAAAAAGGGAAATATAACCCCCATTTTCAAGAAGGAAAAAATGGATGTCCCGGGGAATTACAGACCAGTCAGTCTCACCTCTGTGCCTGGCAAAATCTTGGAGCAGATTCTCCTGGAAGGCATGCTAAGGCACATGAAAAACAACAAGGTGGTTGGTGACAGCCAGCATGGCTTCACTAAGGAGAAATCCTGCCTGACCAATTTGATGACCTTCTGTGATGGGGCTACAGAAATGATGAACAGGGTAGAGCAGTTGATGTCATCTACCTAGACTTGTGCAAAGCGTTCGACACTGTCCCACACGACATCCTTGTCCAGCTGGAGACCAGTAATGAGTGGTGTCCCTCAGGGATTGATGTTGGGACCAGTCTTGTTTAACATCTTTGTCGCTGACATGGACAGAGGGATTGAG